TGTGTGCCACCTGCTGTGCTCCTCCTCTCCCCCGCAGACACAGGTGGTCCCAGGCTACATTGACGCTGATGCTGCGCCACGTGCTGTGCGTGTTGGCCCTCGCGCTGTGCTGCTGCACGTCTGTATGTGTGGCTGCTGCTGTCGTACCTGAACAGGAAAGTAACGGGGAGCTCTCTTCGGATGTTGAGATGACGGTATCCGTGGCGGAGAAGGTTAATGCCAGCAATTGCACAGTGCCGTTGAATTATGCTTCTCATGGGCGCCAGAAGGTTGAGATCTTCACCACGACTGTCGTGACGGAGAAGGTTGACCAACCAACCAAAAACGGAATAATGAGCCCGGCATGGAAATTCGAATTTCCTCGCGGCTACAACTTCACGCTGAGCAACTCATGGGATGTTAAGTGCTGGAAGAAAGATGGCGAGGGCAAAATCACGGAGAAAGAGTGCCACGTGGAAGGTGCAGAAGATACTAAACGGACCGTTGATGTCACATTTCACTCCACTGCTACCGGCTACACCACTGAGCAGATTTCAACACCACCAGAGGAGCGTGAAATCAATGTCCCGGCCGGGTACAGTCTGGTCTTTTACGAGAACGTCGTGGCTACATGCATCCCTTTACCGGGGACTGAGAAGTTTTTCCGGCCAGCAGAGACCGTGACCTCTGGGGACAAGGACAGTGCTGTCGACAACGCGGCTACTGCTCAAACTTCCAGCGAGGCAGAGAGCACAGAAACAGACAACTCCTTCACAGTGAATGACGCCGATCACACTGCCCCCACAGCCACACCTCAATCAGAGACCACCACCGAGGAGGCTCCCAAAACTGATGCCGGTATATCCACCTCTGCGGGAGAGGGCGCTGCAACCAACGCGTCACCTGCGCTCAACAGTATCTCTCTGAGTGGCGTGAACCTTCCTGACCATAACACCGACGCCAGCAGCAGGACTGCGTGGGTGCGTGCCCCACTGTTGTTGCTTCTTGGGACACTAAGCAGCGTAGCTGTATGGTAGTCTGTGGGTTGGACCTGCAGTCATTTATCGTTAACTGCTCGGCTTCGTAAAGCAATAATTCCATACGACTGAAACACTTCTTGCCTTTTGTTGCTGCTCCTTCATGGACTAGAGGTTCATACAGTAAGTTTTGACGGCGCTTACTGTGCTCGGTGCTGTGGGGGGACTATCTTTTTTTTGTTTTGGTTGGGCCTTGCTTTGCGCGTCAATGTGCGTCGCCGACTAATCGGTTCTTCCTTTGTTGCTGCGCTTCAGTGCGCGCGTTGTGATTCTGCGGGCCCACCTCCCTTGTGCTGCGGGTGATCTTCTAAACATAATTGATTGGTGCCGCTCCACCTCCGTCTGTGCGCTCCTCCTTCGTTGTGGTGTGGGCATTGGTTGGCGCTGGGGCGTGGCGCTCTCATTTGTGAGTGCGCTCTCGTGCGTGTGGTTGGGTGTATTGTGTGGGCTGGCGGTGGGCGGTCTCTCTTCTCTCCGCTGTGTGGCTGTGCGTGAACTGCTCTGTCTCCCCCCACCACGATCTGTAAGGAGTGCGGGCCCAAGTGACATTTGCGATGGTGCCGCGCCACGTGCTGTGCGTGTTGGCCCTCGCGCTGTGCTGCTGCACCTCTCTGTGTGTGGCTGCAACTGGTGGTGCTGAGGGGAGTACTACAGCAGCTGAGGAAGCGAGAATGATGGTAAACAGGAAAGTGGTAGCGCTGACCGCGTTTGCAGTGAAGGATACCAGGGATGCAGTGAACAAAGTGCAGGAGGCTGTGATACATGCTGAGGCGGCCAAGCGTGTTGTTGGAGAGGCACTGAGAG